AAAAAAAAAAAAAAGCAACCCTAGGAAGGTTGGACAGAGATGCTGGCAAGGATGCTAAACAGAAAGGTGCGGATTAGGGGGAAGGCTGAGTGGAAGTGAAATGACTCAGTGGTTACTGCACTTCTAGCAAGATCAACGATGACTGCCTTTTGAGGAAGGAAAACGAGCAAACTGTTTGCTACGGCAGGAAGGATAGCCTCAGCTTTGTGATAGAGGAAGTGTATCTGTAGGTGTCTTCTGGCTGGGGAGATTATTGTTTCTTGCTAATTTGACTATGTTGGTCATCACGGGAACAAAACCAGAGCAGGACCCAGAAAGAAGCAGGGGCAGCATGAGTCTCCAGGATCAAGGAGGCCTGAATGGAAATGACCATCACTTGGACAACACTGGATGCTGAGGCAGCCTCCACCCCTACCCTACCCTTGCACTCTGAGCATGTGAGGTATCTCGTATTGCTATCACTAAGTCTGACTTCTTTCTTCCCTGCATATTCTTACAATACACTGGAGATCAGTTGGGGTTGGGTTGACTCCACCACTAGAATCAGCTTGGTCCCAGGAGAAGTCTATTTCTACCAATGCCTCCTCTGTAGATCTTGATTTATGTAAATACTGCATAGGTGAAGAATTAGAAAAGAAGTTGCTTGCTCACATACTCCTCCCTGGTGGCAAGATTTTCTGTGCTGGCCCTGCTTCAACAGCCCCACCAGTTGGAGGCTATGAAGGGACAGCACATGCCAAGGCCCTATGCCAGTTGGCAGCATATCTGGTGTGGCCAGAATTTAGAGGGTGAGAGGGTTTGTGCTATTAATATTTGCTAAGACTGGAGAGGTAATGGGAACAGACTCCCCAGGACTTGAGAGCCAAATAAAGGAATGTGGTATAGCCTAAAAACAATGGGAAACCACAAAAGAACTTAGGGCAGAAAGCTGACATCACATTTTTAAAAAAAGGTATAGGTATGGTTGCTCTGTAAAGAATGGACTGGAGGTGCGGAGACCAGAAAGAAGTGAGAGATAAAGGTAGCCTGCACTGGGGAAAAGGCAGTGGGAACAGAGAGAAGACAGTTCTGGGAGGTGTTTGGAGGCCGAACCAGCAGGATTTGGAGAGGCCCTGAAAAGAAAGAGGTGGGCAGTGTGGAGGAGGCATCAAGCACGACATTCAGGTCAGCTCTGGAGCCATGCCCTGGGCTTCCTTGCCACTTCTGCCCACTGCCAGCACCTGGATAACTTTTGTCATAGCTTCTGTCCCCGAATTGTCCCTGTGTCCAAGTCTGTCCACTCATACTGCAGGCTCCTAGAGGACAAGGTTTAACTAACGTGTGCTTGTTTCCCCCAGTACAGGGCAGGACACAGAGATGGCCTCAGGTGAGGTTAAGGGGAGGACACGCAACCCTGTTGGCTAAAATCTGCTTGCCACTTGGGTGTGAGTGCTCACATGCCCCTGAGTGTCTAAGAATTTGGGTGTGTCTGTGTTTCTGTGATGGCTTTGTGTGGTAGCCTCAAGGTTATGGCCAACAGTGCCAGCGTATTTAAGGACTGAAGTTGCACGCTATAGAAAATGTACTGCATGGCTAATCTGCAGAGACAGTGCCAACCTTCTCTGGCTCAACACAACTTGTGTCTGTCGGATTAGAGTTTCCCCCAAGACCTGGGATGCTAGACATTTGGGCCCTGGAGAAAAACTAAAAACAAAACAAAACAAAAAGCTCGAAAAGCTAAATTCTTCCTTCTCATTCCTCTGTCAGCAGCTGCTATTTATCTTTTGGAGTTCCTGCCCTTCTCTTCCCCATTCTTTATAGCCCCCACTTCTTTGTGGGATTATCAAGTGTGGCACAGATAAGCTATTTGACCCCCAAATGCACATTTTGGTCTGGAGAACCGCAGATACAAGGGTTTCTCCTCCCTCTTCCCACCCAGCTGCAAAAATGGGTCCAGGGGCTGCTGATGAGCAGTAGGGGGCAGGGGAGAGAAGGGAACGAGGTCTGAGTGTGTGTATACAAGACACCCAGGGCAGGGACACACCCTGCTGTTCTCTGAAATAGAGCCCTAGAGGACTCACACTTTGCAGGGGGGCTGCCTAGACAACCCTCCAGCTACAGTAGGCAGGGAGCAGACCCACCTCCAGTATAGCGCCTTTGGTTTGCCCTTCCTCCTGGCCAGCAGGCACTGGGCACAATCCCTCAAATACACCAAAAATAGGAATTCTTCTCCTCCTGGATAGCCTAGGACCTCTAGTCCTTCTGGAAGAGTTTTGCTCATTTTCTTTTTGGGGAGGTTTCTAGGGTCTCCAGTCCTCAGGATTAGGTCACTACGCTGGCCACTCCTATCACTTGGGAAAGATTCCAAAGGTGGAGCAGCTCCAGTGGGTACTAAGGTTCAGAATAGAGCCTTGAGAGGCTGGGAATGAGGAGTTTGGGCCCAGACCCAGAAACCTCTCAGCTTCTGTGACAAAGCACATCCCCCACTGTGTGTGCACGTGGGTGTGTGGGTGGGGGTTCTCGGAGGAGGCAATTAGGATGAGGGCCTGAGGCTGGAAATAGGGTGGGGCCTGCTGAGGAAGACAGAGCGTAGCCCTTGAGGCTTCTGGGAGAGCTAGAGCCAGAGGAACCACAAGATAAGGCGGGTGTGACCACAAAACCAGGTGCCAGTCTGTTCCTTAGGATCCATACTTCTGACATCAAGGCCGGGGCTTCCACACGGAGGTAGGAGGGATCCTGGCCAGCAGGTCAGCCAGCCGCTCTGGGAGAAATGTTGCTGGGGCACTCTGCTACCCTAGACATGACTCATTTCCTTCTACTCAAATAGTCTACTAACTGGGTTTCTACTCTGTTGAGTAAACATTCCCTGACCCTCTCTAAATAGTTGCTCAGTTGGCATTCGCAAAGTCCCTCCACTCAAGCCCTGGCAAGGTGCAGTATCTCCTGAGGATGGAGCTCTTTCCTGAAGCTGACTGGGGAAGATGAGAGAGGGGTGCTTCTGACAGTTCCCAGTTACTTGCTGGAGTCCTGGGGGAAATGAACACGTAGACTAGGAAATAAGGTAGGGGAGAGAGCCGGTCAGGGGCAGAGAAAGGCCTCTTCCTGAATCCAGAGTCCAAAAAGTTAACCCCTCATTTCCAGAGACTATCTAGTCCCCCACACTCACCCCACGTGGGCCACACAGGCAAACCCGGAGCCCAGGGCACCATGACCACAAAAACACCTGCATGTTGCCCTAGGGGTATCTGGACCAGACTGCAGGCATATGGGGGGAGAGGCCACAGAGCCGAATGCCACTATCTGGGAGAAGCACTCCATGTCCTCTCTCAGAAAGCAAGGACAGGGGCAGGGCGGGAACAACCCGGGTCGTCCCTCGGAGCAGTGGGTGTGGGGAGAGGGGCAGGGGCGGGGAAGCCTGAGATGGGACGCCTGTGGACGCATGCTAGGGAGACCAGCGCAGCCCACAGGGGCGCCCTCGAGGCTGGGCGCGGGAGGCCGTTCTGCCCCCTGGCGGCCGCGCTGCGCAGCGTCGCAGCTCTTTTTTCACCCGTCACAAGGTCCTTGAGACTCCATTCCCTTCTCGCGAGGCCACGCAGCCAAGTCTCCTGAGTCGACGGTTGGGACCCCGTCGTCGCCCTCTGCCCTTCACCCGCCCCTCTCAGCCTCTCGAGATCAGTCCCTGCTAGCCTGTCCGGCCCTACGCAGCATGAAGTCTGTTGGCCTCGAGGGTCCCAGCGTGCTCTGCCGAAGGCCTCTGGTGGGTCTGCTCCTCCTGCTGTCGCTGCTGCTGCGGCCGATAACCCACGCCCAGACCATGCCAGGCTCCTCTGGCGCCCCAACAATGCTGGGCACCCCCAGCGACAGTACAACGCCAAGTGTCTTTATCGACCCGACTGGGCCAGGCACCTCTCCTGCCTTGACCGCGCCGGGAGGCCCCCGCACCCCGAGTCTGCGGGAGCTTGCACAGGCCCTGATGCGAGACTTCCCGCTCGTGGACGGGTTAGTAGATGCTGGTGGGTGGGAGTGGGCAGTTGGGGTTGGGGAGGGGGTTCTGAGCATGCAGGGCTAATGAGGAGGTTCCCTTACGCCACCCTTGATGTCCTTTCCCATCATGTATAGATGCCCTTTCCCCTCCTCGTTAATCCCCTCCTTGGTGGGAACAGGCCCTAGCCCAGGCCTCGGGGGTATAATCTGTGTGGCAGTGTGGGGTGGAGGACCCCTGGGGCTGGCCCAGGCCTGGCAACATGTCCTACCTGATTCCAGGCCTAAAGGAGTCCACTCATTTGCCCCTGACCTAACCCTGCCTTGATCTTCCAGCCATAATGACATGCCCCTGGTCCTGAGGCAGTTTTACCGCAACCGGCTGCAGGATGTTAATCTGCGCAATTTCAGCGATGGCCAGACCAGCCTGGACAGGCTTAGAGAAGGTCTCGTGGGTGCTCAGGTACCACAGGGATACAGAAGGTGACACTGGCTGCTGGGGAATGTCAGGGAGTATGGGGGCCCTAGAGACCACAAGTTAGTCACATGGGAACTCAGTTACCATAGTGACCCGAAAAGTGCCATGACATGGATGCTGGGGGCTGCAGGGGCCACAGTAAGACAGCTTGGTGGGCATCCAGGTACCACAGAACAAGCAATGCATTACTTGTGACCTCTGGGTCCATTGGGTGCTGTGCAGGCTGTGGAGACTATGAAAGGAGGAGTTTCAAAGCAGCCCCTGCCCAAGCCAACCCCTGGTCTTCCCCCAGTTCTGGTCAGCCTACGTCCCATGCCAGACCCAGGAACGGGATGCTGTACGCCTGACCCTGGAGCAAATTGACCTCATCCACCGTATGTGTGCCTCCTATTCTGAGCTGGAGCTTGTGACCTCAGTTAAAGGTAGGTAGGTTTGTGGGAGGTGTTAGGGACTTGGTTGAGCTACGCCAGTCCCTTAAAGTGATCACCTGACCTACCTGCCCCCAGCTCTGAACAGTACCCGGAAGTTGGCTTGCCTCATTGGTGTGGAGGGCGGCCATTCATTGGACAGTAGCCTCTCCATCTTGCGTACCTTCTATATGCTGGGCGTGCGCTACTTGACACTCACCCACACCTGCAACACGCCCTGGTGAGCACAGTGCAGATGGTATGGGCCCACTGAGGCAGAGATCTGCCTAAGATCACACTGGGGCCCAGACCATGCTTTACCCCTGGGATCTGGCACTGACCCTGGAGTGGAGAGGGGAGCTGGGTTCACAGAGCAAGATTGGCTCCCCAGCATGGCCTTCCTACTGCCAGGCACAGCCCAGCTTGGGTTCCTGCTCTTGCTGTAGAGGGTTGATAGGGTTAGAGGGTTTGGTAGGGCCTCTAGACTCTGTGGCCATAATTTGGCCACCAGTCAGACTGCTTCCTGGACATCTTGCAGGGCAGAAAGCTCAGCTAAGGACATCCACCCCTTCTACAACAATGTCAGTGGGCTGACCAGCTTTGGTGAGGTGAGGACCCTGGCTGTATTACCCTGCCCCACATGCATGTGTACATGTTTACACCCATCTATCCCCTACAAATAAGTGCACATTCATGTGCACCCCTGATGCCCTCTCTCTAACCTGTCCCTACAGAAGGTGGTGGTGGAAATGAACCGCCTGGGAATGATGGTAGACTTGTCCCATGTCTCAGACACCGTGGCACGGCAGGCCCTGGAAGTGTCACAGGCACCTGTGATTTTCTCCCACTCGGCTGCCCGGGGGGTGTGCAAGAGTGCACGGAACGTTCCTGATGATATCCTGCAACTTCTGGTGAGAGACTGCCCTGGCCTTCAAACTTAAAGCAAGAAGTTTGAACCAGGAACCCCTGAACTTCAGCCCCAGTTCCCTCAGCTTCCTTGGGCTGAACATTTCCCCCTCCCCGCAAACCCACAGTCCATAGCCCCTGAACCTTGAACTCAAGGTGACATTCTAGGTGGTAAATATTCCTCTGAACCCTCAAACCCAGGGCCAAGACACCACCCAAACCAGGGCTGAGACCCCTCCATTCATACAAACCAAAGAGGTGGCCTCCTCTGACCTCAAAGCCAGGGATGAACACCTTCCTCATAGGGGTCCAGCAGGTGAACAGGCAGGTGGTTGTGTTGGGGGGAAGGGGGGTGGCAAACTGAGTGTCCATTTGTCCACCCCTGCAGAAGGAGAATGGTGGCATTGTGATGGTGTCCTTGTCTGTGGGGGTGATGCAATGCAACCTGTTAGCCAATGTGTCCACTGTGGCAGGTAAGGCCCAGCCTGGGCTGTCTGAACAGTTCTGATTTGGACCTGAATCTTTGGGGAGTGGGATTGGATCTCAGAACAGCCCCAGGAGTTTGACCCACCCTTTGGCAGTAGGCACAGCTCCCCAAAACCCAAAAATGAACAGTACACAGCACTTTGGTGCCACATGGAACTGGAACCACAGGGTGGGTAGTGCAATATTGATGGGTATAAGAGAGGCAGTCAGGCTGTTGACCATCTGTGCCTCTGCAGGGCTCCCAAAGCGCCCTGTCCCTCTGGCCAAGGACCTAAGCAGCACCTTAGGTCTCTGAGGATTTTTTGTCAGTTGTACTCTTTGTCCCTCCCTCATCCTCTACACACATGGAAAGAAGCCCTGGCAGGTTCTCAAGGAAACTCAATGCAGGGTGAATCCTGATGTGAAATGGCCCAAACTTGTGGCTCTGGGGTCCACTCTAAATCTGAAGCCCAGTCTAGAGCCAGCTGGGATCAAAGTTCAGGGCCCTCAAGCTGGCATACTGGGTGCCAGGCCTTGAAGAAATTGGCCTGTGTGGCCTACAGGCTGCAAGAAGAGGAATTGGTAGATTCCCCTACCCCCCATCCCTGCCCTGGAAACCCCACACTGCTGACTCTGCATCCCCCAGATCACTTCGACCACATCAGGGCTGTCATTGGATCCAAATTCATCGGGATTGGTGGAGATTATGATGGGACCAGCCGGTGAGTGCTTCCCTGCGGCTTGTTAGGGGCAAGCTGTGCAGCAGTGGGGCCTTCACAGTCACCATGCCCACCACAGTGTGATCCTCATGGTTTTTAGGCCTTGACCACAGACTCAGTTCTGCTGGCCCACCTGGCATGGCCCTTCACCCAAAGTCTGTTTCCAGGGCTCCTCTGTCTAGGGCCTATTGGCCCAGTCTGGGTCATCATATTTGGCTAAGCCACCAGACAGAGCTCATCTGCCTAGCATGTGCACCTACTCCCAGTGCCACAGACCCACTGCCTCTGAGCAGACTCTTAACAAGGTCTGGTATGGGCTGACTATCTCTTTGGCTTGCAGCTGGGTCTGTGCATGCAGAGGTAAAACCCAGTTCTTAAAAAGCTTTTCTTCTTTTTGTGTATAGAGGGGAATTTTGCATTCAGTGAAACACATAGATCTTAATAATACAGTTCAAATGAGTTTTGATGAATATTCAAGGAGGTTTTGGCATCTCCTGAAGTTTGAAGAGCGGGGGGTGAATCACTTACTCTCTCCAAGTCTCCATTTCCCGTATCTGACCAGGGTTGGAGTTCAGTGGATACATAGGGCTATGGTTCTGAGGCAGGACCAGGGAACAAGTCAGGCAGGGGCCCAACAGCTGGTTGCCTGGTGGCCACACAGATTCCCTCAAGGGCTGGAAGATGTGTCCACATACCCAGTACTGATAGAGGAGTTGCTGAGTCGTGGCTGGAGTGAGGAAGAGCTCCAGGGTGTCCTTCGTGGAAATCTGCTGCGGGTCTTCAGACAGGTGGAACAGGTATGCTGGGCTGGGCAAAAGAGTAGCTCAGGAGTCTGAGCAGGTATGTTTGGGGAAGCTTTGGAAGCTGCTGACCACCCACTGCTGCCTCCAGGTACGGGAGGAAAACAAGGGGCAGAGGCCCTTGGAGGATGAATTCCCAGATGAGCAGCTGAGCAGCTCTTGCCGCTCTGTCCTCCCGCCACTGCATCACAGACAGTATATGGCTCCATACCAGAAACTAACTGAGACTCCAACGCATTGGACACCCAACTTGTCACCTAAGGAGTCATTCTCAAATTCCTCTCCCCACACAGCCCCAAGCTTCACAGTTATTGCTGCCTTCCCAGTCCTCATTCTGTGGCTCTGGTGACCCAGTCAATCCTGCCAGATTTCACTTTGGCAGCCGTGGACATCCCACAAAGTTCTCCTGTTGTGCAGGCACAAACATTTCCTGAAAATAAATATTTTAGATTGGAACCAGACATGAGTGTCCTTCTCTGTGGGGTAGTCTGGTGGCAAAGGCTCCCAGTGCTGGTGGTTGGTGGGGCATTCTGCAGTTCTGCCACCAGTAACTCAAGGAAGACCTGTTGGCAGTGGCCTGAGGAACCACAAGTGATTGGGCTCAGCACTGAAAGAAGACAGTGGGGGGCTCTGGCTGCAGGAGGGTGGACACTACTCTGGGTTCCTTCTGAGTAACTCGCCTTAATCCCCACCCTGACTCACTGACCACCAACTGGGGATCTTTCAGGGAATTCGGGTTCAGATTCCCAAGTAGGGAACCAGCCTGGATCACAAATATCCTTGTTCCCATTTGGACAGAGCTCAGAATGTCAGGTCACATAAGTGGCCATGGGCCTCCATGCTGGACTGCCCTGGATGCGGGCCCACAGGGATTTCCTAAGAAGCACAACCTACTTAGACAACCACCCCATCTTACCCCCAGGTCATTAATGGTAATAGCAACTGCACTAATAGCCAAAATTAAGAGTTAATACATTGAGCTAATATTGACAGCTAATAATAAATAACATGATAATAATAGATAATGGCTAGTAAAAATAATAATGTTAATAGATAGTCTGTGCATATCCAATGACTGAGCAACTTCATCCCAGGTATATATACAAGAGGAATGCATGCATACATTCCCCAAGAGGCATATGAAATAATATTTATAGCAGCACTGTTCATAATAACTCCAAACTGCATTTCAAAGTCAAACTTCAAGGAGCCAAAGACAAAAGATTATCGTAAAAGACGTCATATTTTTTAAAATCATATTAACTTGAGAAACAACAATAAAACTGACAACTGAATTTTCAACAGAAATAATGGAAATTCACACACAGTGGAATATCTTTAATCTGATGAATGGAAATAAATGCTAATGTTGAATTTTGTGCACAATGAAAGTATTCTTCAAAAATGAAGGAAAATAAATACATTTTCAGACCAACAAAAGCAGAGAAATTGGAAATACACAAATCATCTAATGAGAATATCAGTTATTATGGAAAAAGTGCCTATTAAATAGAAATTAAGGAGATTATAGGTGCCCTAATTTCACTTTTTTTAAAAATTGGGGAATTGGGGGAGGGGAACAGTGTTGGGGAATTGGGGAGGAGGACCAGCCAAGTTGTTCTTCAAGCTTAGTTGTGGAGGGCGCCAGTCACCATCTGGCTGCCTGATGACAGCTCATGGCCTCTAAGCTCAAGGTGCTGTGTTACAATCTTAGTTGCAGGTTAGGTGTAGCCACCATCCCATGCAGGAGTCGAACCAGAAGCAGCCTTGTTGTTAAGAGTGCACACTCTATCCACTGAGCCACTTGGCCGGCTCCTTAATTTCACATTTGAGAGGGAGGTATGAACATTTAAACAAAATGTCTTCAGATTTTTTTTACCTGGAGAAAAGTTATGTTCTGTGAATACAAAAGCAGCCATGGACTTGGCTCTTATATACTCTGAAATTTTAAGCTCTGTAGAAATTCCATCCGAAATTGTTTTAAGAAACATGCAATATTGATGCTTGTAATATAAAATCAACATCCTGTTTGGATCTTCTTAAATTGACTCATAAATTATGCTTAGGGAATCTTATCCAAATTTGGAAATAGCCTTGAAAAAAATTTTCAATCAGTCACAGTAGCATCTTGTACAAGAAGTTTCAGGAGCTGCAGCTATTAAAAAATTATTTAATGGGCTGGCCAAGTGGCTCAGTTGGTTAAGAGTTAGCTTGGGCCAGCCAAGTGGCTCAGTTGGTTAAGAGCTCACTCAAGAGTGCGAGCTCTGAGCAACAGGGTCGCTGGTTCAATTCCCAGCCCGAGCTGAGCTGCCACTGAGCTGCCAACAGGTGGCAGGATGGCTCAGCTAAAAAAAAAAAAAGAAAGAAAGAAAAGATGTGTGTAGAAAACAGCCTAAGAAATGGGCAAACGGTTTCATCCTGTATCATGAGAACTCCATGTTACACATCGCTTCTGATACGGCAATTTCTGTTAAATAAAAACATTACAGGGCCGGCCGAGTGGTGCGATGGTTAAGAACTGGCTTGGGATGCCAGAGGGCCCCGGTTCGATCCCACATATGAGGGCCAGTGACACTGCCCTCTACAGCTAAGATGCTGAGCAACAGCTCAACCTGGAGCTGGGCTGCCATGAATCTCCGGCAATGGCGTAGGCTGCAGTCCCTGTGGCAGTGGGTTGCCATGGGCTACCGTATATAGTCAGCAGCCAGCGTGAGCGGCCAGCAGCCGCAGTGAGTGGCCGTCCAGAAGCCGCGACTGACCTGCCTCACCTGGGAAGAGCGCAATGATGGTGCCAACTTGGGCCAGTGAAGCAATGTCCTCCACAAGTAGACTGAAGAACAAAACGACAGCAACTTGTCTGTTCCCCTCCCCCCAATTCCCCAGCACTGTTCCCATCCCCCCAATTTCCCAATAAAAATCTTTAAAACAAACAAACAAAAAAAACCATTACAGTGTGTCCTCATCCACCTTATTCACCGGATCTGGCACCGTGTGACTTCTGGCTCTGTCCCAAAGTCAAAATGACCATGAAAGGTAAATGTTTTGAATCAGTTCAGGACATTGAGGCAGCCACAACAGCGCAACTAAAGACACTCATGAAAGAGGACTTCCAGAACTGCTTCAGAAAGTGGCAAGAACGATGGAATAAGTGTGTTTGAAGCGAGGCGTGAGTGTTTCAAGGGGGATTAATGGCAATGTGTCTTTAACTGTAATAAATTTTTTAAAATTTAAATATTCACCATATTTTTTCTATCACACCTTGTATATTAACATATGTGCAGACACAAATTTCAACACTAGATGCTAAAACAATGGCCTCCCATAAATATTGTTCTTAAATTTCATTTTTATTACTTTTATATGGAATCTTTTTTTCTCTCAGTCAAAACAGATCTAATTCACTCTTCTGAGTTGGGGCTTAGAATTTCACAAAATAGTTAACCTATTGGAGGGTGGGGCACATCCCTGCAACTAAAACTCGACATGGACCTGCAACTAGGGGTGAAATTAGGAATATTCCTGGGCCCCTCCCAGTTACCCCACTGGCCTGCTCCCCTGCTCAGTCGGTCCCAGGCAGCCAGGAAGAGCTAGCTGTCGGTGCAAGGCCAGGAGCAGGGGCGGAGGGAGCCCGCGATGTGTCGCTAGAGGGCGCTCGCGGCAGAGGCGGTCCTGATCCATCGAGGGGCACTCCTAGTTGGAGTAGGGAGAGCCATACAGCCCCCTAGCGGCTACGCAGTGAAGCTACGTTGCGGATCCCTGGGCGTCGGTCTCAGCGTCCTGAATCCCCTCTTCACTAGGCCGCGCCAGTGAATCACCTAAATCGACGGTCTGGACCCCATCCTTTCCCTCTGTCCCTCACCCGCACCTCTCAGGCCCTCAAGACCAGCTTCTGTCCGCTGGCTCTACGCAACATGCAGCCCACAGGCCTCGAGGGGCCCCGTGTGCTCTGCCGCCGTAGGCCTCTGTTTCGCCTACTGCTTCTGCTGCCGCTGCTGCCATGGCCAGTAACCCGCGCTCAGACCACGTCGGATGATCCCAGCGCCCTGACAGTGCTGGAAACCACCAGTGCCCCGACCACGCCGGGCATCCCTAGTGCTCCAATCACGCCAGGCACATCCAGTGCCCTAAGTCTGCCGGAGCGGGTCCAAGCCCTGATGCGGAACTTCCCACTTGTGGATGGGTGCGTAGGTTCAGCGTGGGAGTCAGCTGGGGGCATTGAGCTCACCCCTTAGAGAGGGTCCAGAGCATGCAGGGCTAGTCAGGAGGCTCCCTCACACTACCCCAGATACCCTCTCTCCACTATCAACATGGGCCCCCTTACCCCCATTACCCTGTTCCTGGTGAAACACCCGCCCCAAGCCCCCCACACCCCCATCCCCAAGGTGATTGTCAGGAAGTCTCCATATTGTCTGTGTGAGGTGAGGAGGTGGGGGTGGGACAGGCCCAGGCATGTTGACATGTCCTGTCTGAACTTGAGGTTGTGTCCCTACTCTAACCTTGTCTTGATTCCCTCAGCCACAACCACCTGCCCCAGCTCCTAAGACATCTGTTCAAGAACAGGCTGCAAGATGTTAACCTGCGCAACTTCAGTCGTGGCCAGACCAGCCTGAACAAGCTTAGGGATGGCTTTGTGGGTGCCCAGGTACCACATGGACATACAGGGTGCCACAGCATGGCTGCTGGGAAATGTGGGCGCCACAAAAACCTGGGTAGGCAGTCCCCTGGGTGACTAAGTATCAATGGACATGGAATCTGTCATCATGTGGTTGCTGTGGAGTGTGGGGCTGTTGGAGGCCAAGACAGGCCAACCACATGGGTGCCTAGGTTCTGTGGAGACACACAGAAAGTGACCACAAAAATCCCTGGTGAGTGTGGGAGGTGCGGCAACCACAAAGGACATGGTTGGGGCATTCACATAGCACATGGACGAACAGCAGGCAATGATGATGTGTCATGAGTCCACAGTTTGGCTGCTGGCAATAGTCATCATGGGGTCATGCAATGCCTCACTTGGGCCATTGACCCAAATGAGTACCTTGGGGGCTGAGGATGAGTAGCAGGCCAAGGGCTTTGGATGCCACTCTGATCTCATTCTGGACCCCTGGGTCTACTCCTAGTTCTGGTCAGCCTACACCCCATGCCATACCCAGGACCAGGATGCCGTGCGCCTGACACTGGAACAGATTGACCTCATTCGTCGCATGTGTGCCTCCTACTCTGAACTGGAACTTGTGACCTCAGCCAAAGGTGGGCTGGAAAATGGAGGAAGAGTCAGGGGCTCACTCTGGTGGTTCTGGCCATGGCCCTGATCACTTGATTATCCACCCTCTTCTAGGTCTGAACAGCACTCAAAAGCTGGCCTGCCTCATTGGCGTGGAAGGTGGTCACTCACTAGATAGTAGCCTCTCTGTGCTGCGCAGTTTCTACGTCCTGGGAGTACGCTACCTGACACTCACCTTCACCTGCAGCACGCCCTGGTGAGCATAGTGCCTGACCAGGGTAGAATGGTACATGGCATGGTGGGAAAACTGCCAGAGAACTGAGGACAGAGGGGTCCACAGAGGGAGGCTGGACTGCCAGCAGGTCCTCACACTCCCAGAAAGCAGCTGGCCTAGGTCCTTACCTCTTCTGGGGGTGGGATAGATGGACAAATAGAGGGACTTCAGAGCCCCTGGGCTTCGATGGTCAAGGTATAGCCCACTAGACTGCCCTCCCCTGACTGTACTGCAGGGCAGAGAGTTCCACCAAGTATGAAGACCACTTCTACACCAACGTCAGCGGGTTGACAAGCTTTGGTGAGGTGAGGACTCCTGTTTCCTACCCTAACCCACCCATTCCCTACAGATATGTGCACATGCATGTGTCCCTGACAACCTCCTCTCCCCTCCCCCCAAAAAATAAATGTCCCTGTAGAAGGTGGTAGAGGAAATGAACCGCCTGGGCATGATGGTGGACTTGTCCCATGCATCGGACACCTTGGTGCAGCAAGCCCTGAAGGTGTCGAGGGCTCCTGTGATCTTCTCCCACTCAGCTGCCAGGGCTGTGTGCGACAATTTGCTGAATGTTCCCGATGACATCCTGCAACTTCTGGTAAGCTGCCACCCGAGCCCTCAAACCCAGGGCTAAGCTTGCTTCATACAAATATTCTTGACCTTGAACAAAGCTACCAGTCCAGGCCTCACTTCCCTTGGACCCAAGGCTGATTAACCCTCCTCCATCTCTGAAACTCAAGGAACCCACAAACCCAGAGAGGTGAAGCATCTTCCAACCCCTGGAGCCAGGACTGAGCACTGTTCTACCAGGGTCCATCCCCAGGGCACGGGTGGCAGGCCATCAGTTCAGAAGGGCCAAGCTGAGTATCCATTTGTTTATCCCTATAGAAGAAGAATGGTGGCATTGTGATGGTGACGCTGTCCATGGGGGTGCTGCAGTGCAACCTGTTTGCTAATGTGTCCACCGTGGCAGGTGAGCCGCACTTCAATTCCTTGTGCAGTTCTAGCTTGGGCCAGTGGCTGCCAGGGCCCTCAGGACATCTCCAGCAGTCTAACACACCTGTTGGGCAATGGGCAGACCTCCCAACAATGCAGGGGAGTAGACACAGCTCTTCACTGCCACCCATCTGGGTCCACAGTCAATGCTGATGGGTTTGAGGAGGAAACTGCCTCTGCCTCTGAGTTTCACTTTTACTCCCACGTCTCTGGACAGGACAGGCAGAGCCCCGACCAGGCTGTGAAGGAACTTAGAGGCAGGGTGGTTCCTGGGCAGAAAAAAGTCCAAAGGGTCTTTGGTCCGAGGTCCATCCTGTGCTCCGAGGTCCATCCTGTGTCCAGTGTCCAGCCTATAGCCACTTCAGAACTCCCAGCTGGCCAGGAGCTCTGTGGAGTCAGCTGCCATGGCCTGGAGTGCGGTGGGCAGAGGAATTGGCCAGGGCTGAGTTTCCCCAGACCAAGGTAGTTCCAGGGTCTAACTCCAGCCCAGTACTGCCCACCACTAACCTCCATCCTCTAGATCATTTTGACCACATCAGGGCAGTCATTGGATCTGAGTTCATCGGAATTGGCGGAAATTATGATGGGTCTGGCCGGTAAGTGTTCCCTGGGGTTTTTCTTGGGCTGGGGTACAGCAGGGAGTTCTAATTCCCCATCCCATGATCCTCCCATCCTTCAAACCTCAACCACAGAGTTTTGTCTTCCAGCCCACCTGACATCTCCCCACTTCCAGGGCCTATTTCCTTGGCTCTCCCTGATCCTTTTGTGGCCCACTGGACCCACTGCCACTCCAAGTCATCACCCTCATTAAATACTCCCCTCCCCCCAGGCAGAGCTCATCTGCCCAGCCTAAGCTCCACTCCCAGCTCAGCAGATGTGTCGTGGGCTGATCATCTGCTTGGTGGGTAGATGCTGGAGAAACCCAGTCTTCAAGGAGCTTCCACAGTTGCATTCAGTAGCCTGAAGAACATGGCCTTCAATTTCCCATTTGTGATTGGGGCTAATGGGACAGTAGCCTTAGATTAGGATCAGTGCCGAGGTCCCACAGCTGGCTGGCTGGTGGCTACACAGGTTCCCTCAGGAGCTGGAGGATGTATCCACATACCCAGTACTGATAGAAGAGTTGTTGAGGCGTGGTTGGAATGAGGAAGAGCTTCAGGGTGTCCTTCGTGGAAATCTGCTGCGGGTCTTCAGACAAGTGGAGCAGGTATTATGCTGGGCTGGGCAAAAGGATGGCTCAGTGGTTTGAGCAGGTGAGGGGTCACTGGGGGAGCCACTGACTGTTCACTCCCACCCCCAGGTAAGAGATGAAAACAGTGGTCATAGCCCTGCGGAGGATGAATTTCCAGACAGGCAGGTGGGCAGGTCCTGCCACTCCCACCTTGTGTCACAGCCTCAGAATGAACACCTGGCCACACACCTGGAGGTGACCAAACGGCCAACCAATGATGTTCTCCAGAGTTCCTCAAAAGCACCCCCATACCTTGTTCTAGGCCTCGTGGCTATTGCTACCTCCTCAGTCCTCATCCTATGGCTCTAATGACCTGGCAGTTCCCCAGGATCACCTTAATAAAGTCTCATAAAGTCCTCCTAGTTATCCAGGTATAGCATATGCTAAGAATAAATATTTTGGGCATAGAACTAGGTTTGACTGTCCTTTTTTCACATGGGAGTGGGGGTTGGGACCCAGTAGGCTCTTGGGTAGTAAGGAATCTTGTGGTCTAGCTCGAGCAGCTCAAGGTGAGTGGTTCCCATTGGCCTCTGGCTTTGTCTCATCTCAGGAAGTCAGAGACATATTCTCTATTAAAGAGAATATTCTCTGTACTATATTCTCTATTAAATTCTCTATATGCTCTTTAAAAACTTGAGCCCACAAACACAAAAGAATGGATTTCAGAGTTGACCCCATCATGGAGTTAGACAGTGGGTGTGTTCCCAATCTCTCTCTGGTTGGTTTAAATTTATTTTTTCAAGAAGCTGATACCATTTATAGAATAAACAGTAACTTGTTTGGTAATATCAAGGGAAAGTTTGTAAAGATTTTAGATTTTTCAGATAAGGTCTTCTGATATTTTTTTGTTAAACTGATTGTTTAATAATAGAAGGGGGAAATCAAATCTTAAAAAGAAAAAAAAACTTTAAAAAAAGGAAACTAGTGCCAACCGCTTGGCTTACTGCAGACCCTCCATCTTTGGCCACTTTCCTCTCCCAATCTACAAGAGTGGGCCAGAGCCAAATGTAAGTTCCTTCCATAGGAACTGGAAATTGGGAGAAAGAGAGACTACAGTGCCACCTATGTTGTAAATCGTGTCCATATATGTGTGGGTCTATTTTTGAATTCTGTTCCATTTATTTGGGCTAACATGTTTATTGTACTAACAATACCACAATGTCTTAATTACAACACTTTAAAACGTCTTGATATCTAGTAGAGTGAGTCTTCCCACTGTAAGAGTATTGTATCAGTCAGTGTTTGATCAGATAAGTAGATCCATTAGGAATGATATAAAATGATAAATTTATTATAGGGATTAGACCTTATGCATATGTAGGAACCAATGGTAAAATCTATGCAAGGCTGTTTGTTACCTGTGCATCTGGGGTTGGGTCTTAAGTTTGTACAGGTAAACTGGGCCAGAAGTTAGGAAGGAGAGCTGGATGTGAGATGGAGAACAAGGATGAACCCATAAGGACCAACTGGGACAATTGGATATCCATTTGGGAAAAACAAAAACAAAAATGAAAGAGTAGGTGGGTCCTAGACTAATCGGGGGGGATCACTTTGTAAATTATAGAAATGGCTAACCACTATGCTGTATACCTAAAACTAATATAAAGTAATATTGAATATCAGCTGTAATTTAAAAATTTAAAAATTTTACCCCTAAGTCACACCACACAGAAAACAACATAGAAAATTAAATTAAATTGAATATGTTGTTGATCCAAATGCAAAAGGCAAAAGAATAAAACTCCTGGGAGGTAGCATAGGAAAATATATTTGTGATCTCAGCATAGGGACACTGGACATAAAAAGCATTAACACAGGAAATTATTGATAAGTTGGATTACATTGAAATTAATAACTTAAGCTTATCATAAAATACCGCTAAGAAGAGTGAAAAAGCAAGCCACAGAGTGGGAAAAACTTTTAACATGTATTATTGACAAAGGACATGTATCCAGAGACAGACAACCTAATACAAAAGTGGACAAGACATTTGAATAGAAACTTTCCGAAAAATGATATCCAGATGGCCAACAAGAACATGAAAACGCAGGGCCGGCCGAGTGGCATGTTGGTTAAGAGTTGGCTTGGGATGCCAGCTCTGAGCAGCAGGGTCCCGTTTTGGATACCACATTAGGGCCAGTGACGCTGCGCCCTCTACAACTAAGATGGTGAACAACAGCCTGACCTGGGGCTGGGCTGCTGTGAGTCGCCGGCGATGGCATAGGCTGCAGTGGGCTGCCGTGAGCTATGTGAGTGGCTGGCAGCCAGCGTGAGTGGCTGGTAGCTGGTGTGAGCTACCAGAAGCCGCTGTGAGCGGCCGACCAACGACCGGCGACCGATTGCCTCACTCGGGAAGAGCACAATGATCATACCAACATGGGCCAGTGAAGCGACGTCCTCCACAACTAGACTGAAGAATAAAACAGCAATTTGTCTACCTGTCTGATCCCCTTCCCCGGTTCCCCAACGCTGTTACCCTCCCCCCAATTCCCCAATAAAATCTTTAAAAAAAAAAAAGGATGCATGCTCAGGTTGTGCCTTTATATAAGAAAACAAGAAAGTGATTATCATCAAACTCAGGTTGGTTTAGGGTGGCAGTTGGTTCAGGCATGAAGGGACTTTTGGGGTCCTGGAAATGTCAATACCTTCACTTGGGTGGTGGTTATTTAGATGTTTACTTTATGATAATATATCAAGCTGTCAAATAGTTTGAATAACCTCCTGCCCCCACCATCCTCACGCTCCCCACTACCCAGTTCTGTTCTCCCAGCAACCACTTTAAACACTTTTAACTGTTAGCATTTACTGGCATTTTCCTCTATATTTCTAAATAATATATATAACTGCCAGCTCTTTAGTCATAAATTTTAGATATTATTTACAGACTCAGAAATTTGAAAATTTAGGCTTTCTAGCTTACTCTCTTCTGCTTCTACCATCCTCTAAATATTAGAATTATTTGGTTAATTATATAATGGGTTTTTTTTGTTTTTAAACAGTTTTATTGAGATATAATTCATATACCATACAATTCACCCATTCAAACTGTACAGTTCAATGGTTATTGTATAGTACATTTTTAAAATTGTGGTAAAAATATATAAAATAAATTTTCCATTTTAACCATTTTTAAGTGTACAAATCAGTGGCATTAATTTCATTCACAAATGTGCAAACATCTCCACCATTTCCAAAATTTTTTGTTATACCAATCAAAAACTCTGTAATCATTAAGCTATAACTCCCCATTTTCCCTTGCTTTAGCCCCCTGTAGCCTGTATTCTATTTTTAAATTCTGTGAATTTGTCTATTCTAGATAACTTATAGAAGGAGAATTATACAACATTTGTCGTTTTGCATCCAGCTTATTGTATTTAATGTAATGTCTCCAAGATTCACCCATGTTGTAGCATATATCAGACTTCATTCCTTTTTATGGCTGAATAATATTCCCTTGTCCGTATAGATCACAGTTTGTTATCCATTCATGGGTTGATGGAGACTTAGGTTGTTTCCACCTTTTGTCTATGCAGTGAACATTGGCAAACAGGTATCTATTTGAGCCCCTGCTTTCAATTCCTTTGGGTTTATGCCTAGGATAGAATTGCTGGATCATATGGTAATTCTAAGTTTAGCTTTTTGCAAAACCACCAAACTGTTTTCATTAGCAGCTGCACCATTTTACATCCCCACCACAGCAATGTACAAAGGTTTCAATTCTCCACATCCTCCCCAGCACTTATTTTCTATTTTTTTTAGTGATAGCTAACCTAAAGGATGTGAAATAGTATCTCACCCACCAATCTCACACTGTGGTTTTGATTTGCATTTATCTTATGACTAATGATGTGGAGCATCTTTTACTGTGCTTATTGGCTATTTATTTGTATATCCATAAGTTCTAAGTCAGTGTCCTTTTTCAGTTCTCTGAAGCCATTTTCAAACTGACTTGGGAGGTCATCCTGTTCTCCCCAGAAAGCCTCTTTATGTGAGTAATAAACATTTCTGTATCCTCTTGGGGTATATGTAGCCTTATTAATCTTGATGTATGAACCAAATTTCGGGAAGGGTGGGTCTATCTCACCTCTACAGAGTGATCTCAATGCTTTGTCAGGATAAGCATTATTTCATCTAGAGCTAATTTAACCTGACTACTAAGGCAATGCCCTCCTGAGGAGTCTAGCTAATGTCCCATATGTTAAAAGATCTTTCATTCTAGCTGGCAGGAACACAAACCACATGAGCTCCAAGAATTATTCAGCCCACTTCTTTCCAGTGGTTCTTTCTCTGATCTTGTATAGCTTCCTCGTATGTGTGTACACATCAGTTCTCTGGCTTACTCATAGGGACCCTCTACACATCTCCAAGCTTCTCTCTTTGTGAAGCTTTCTCTTCTATGGTATTCTGCCCTGTAAATTCTAGCTGCTTTGGTCTTCCCAAATGATGATTTTTCTTTTTCTCCTCAACTCAGCAACACCATTGGTTCTGAGTTGAAGTTCCCCATCCCTCCTACTCCCACACTGTGACTTGGAAAATATCTATAGGGAATAGGCTGGTACAATCATAGGGCTCACATCATTTATTTCTCTTTTGTCTGGGATCACAGTCCTGCACCATACATTGTCTAATGTCTGAAAATCATTGTTTTATACAGTTGGTCAACAGTTCTACTTAATTTACACAGAAAAGTAAATTTGACATCATGATTGAAAGCAGAAGTTGTGTTGAGGTATTATTCCTCACAACCAGTAATCAATTTTTGTAAGTGTTGCAAGTATACTTGACAAAAATATGGAATTTTCCAATTGTTGGATATAGAACTATATATGTGTACATGTCCATTAGGTCAAGTTCATTAATTGTGTTAAAATCTATTATATCCTTCTGTTTTTTTCCTTGACCTGTTTGTAACCATGACAGTTGTTTTGAAATCTTCTACTGTTATGGTGTATTTATCAGTTTCTCCCTATAGTTTTAGCAATTTCTTTTTTATTGAAATGAAATTCATGTACCATAAAACTGACCATTTTAAAGTGAATAATTCAACGGCATTTAGTACATTCACAGTGTTGTGCAACCACCACCTCTATCTAGTTCCAAAACATATTAATCACCCTAAAAGGAAACTCTATAACCATTAAGTGATTGCTCCCCATCCCTTTGTTCCCCCTAACCACTGTTTTCTATCCCTGTGGATTTACCTATTCTGGATATTTCTTACAAATAGTATCATACAATATGCAACCTTTTGTGTCTGGCTTCTTACATTTAGCATAACATTTCAAGGTTCATTCAAGTCGTACTTCTTC